AAATAAAAATGTATAGCAAGAGAAACATCAGTAGGATCAAAAAATGAAAACAGCTATATTTGCTTATCCCTCCCACAACAAGAAAATGTCTCATTCATTTCTTAAATAAATGCCTTATGAGGGAGTCAAGCATCATGGCTCAAATCTATAATGACAACTACATGGTACATAGAGGTTGAAGAACTGCTTCAGGCCTGGACTTCAAGACCAGCCTGGGTAATAAAGCAAGACCTTGTCTCCAGTATAAACGCCTTCAAGAGAGCTTTGAGATTTAGGGAAGGAGTTGTGAAACTCTGCTGAAGCCCAACATTGAGGAGTGTTCCTTTTCAGAGGGCAGGTCCTCATTCATGTGGGAAACTACAGGGCCCCTGGTCTTGGCTACAGATACAGAAATGGCCTAGCCAACTTGGTCTCACTGAGAATTCTGAAGTTATTCTGAGGCCATCTCAAACTCGCCGCAGTTACAGTTGGGAAGATAATTCTGAAGTTACTCTGAAACCATCTCAAACTCCTCCCAGTTACAGTTTGGGAGAGGTCCTGGCATTCCTGAGACCTGGAGGAAGATACCCATATGTAGCCATGCAGGCAGGCCTATAGACCTTGATCTTTACTGTGGTCCCTGAAGCAGGTCACTGACTCAGTTCCAGTTCCATGGGGAACCGTTCATGGCCTATTCTGTCTATACAGAAACCCAGAAATTTTCTCTGGTACTCAGTGAAAGCCGTACTCATTCACATCCTGATATAAAGGCCGTTTTATATGGACCTGACTGTAGAAACCTACTCTAGTGCCTGCTCCACATGTAAAAGTCCTGAAGAATATTCAATTAAAAAAAACAAAACACACTGGGAATTACAACTACCTAAGCCCCTTGTAACAAGCCAACTAAATGTGGACCCTAGTGCAGACGCAGAAGCCTTGTGACCAAGTTACAACCCAATTCACTACAAACCCCGGAGGCATTTTAGAACCCTGAGAAGCCAACAAAAGATCTTTACCTCCTGATATCAGTGTATGCAAACTTGAGGAGTTGTTTGTTTTCACAGACACCAATATAAAACTATATTGTGTCCATTGTCAATGCTTCTATTTTAACACAGCACTGGAAATATGTGGCAAAATAATGAATAAAAAGTATATTTTCTTAATTCATTGAAATTGAAGACAAATTAGTAAAAAGTTGTTTGAGGAATAACCTTATACATAAAAAACTATAGATAGCTGGGTATGGTGGCGCAAGTCTGTAATCCCAGCACGTTGGTAGGCCGAGGTGGGCGGATCACAATGTCAAGAGATTGAGACAATTCTGGCCAACATGGTGAAATCTGTCTAATAAAAATACAAAAATCACCTGGGCATGGTGGCACGCATCTGTAGTCCCAGCTATTAGGGAGGCTGACACAGGAGAATCACCCCCACCCAGGAGGCAGAGGTTGCAGTGAGCCAGGATCCAGCCACTGCACTGCAGCCTCTGACAGAGTAAGATTCCATCTCAAAAAAACAAACAAACAAACAAAAAGAACAGAAAAAAGAGAGTATATTGAAATTTGCCTAAACTAATAAATATACTCATTAAATTGACAAAATACAAGATTAACAGAAATGTACAAGTTACTGTTTTATACGCTTAAAACAAGCTATTGGATACAACAGAAATAAAAAATCTTTTGTTTTGTTTTTTGAGACTGAGTCTTGCTCTGTGGCCCAGGCTGGAGTGCAATGGCACAATCTCAACTCACTGCAACTTCTGCCTCCCAAGTTTAAGCGATTCTCCTGCTTCAGACTTCTGAGTAGCTGGGATTATAGGAGCCCACCACCACTCCTGGTTAAATTTGTATATTTTCAATAGAGATCATATAGGCCAGACTGATCTCAAACTCCTGAACTCAAGTGATCCACCTGCCTTGGCCTCCAAAAGTGCTGAAATTACAGGCCTGAGGTGCCGGCCGAGAAAACAATCCCTTTCAAAATAGAATTAAAATCCTGAATTTCATTTTTTTTTTAATTTTTTTTTTCTTTTTAGAAAGAAAAGGAAAAAAGAAAGGAGTGAAGGAGAGGAAGAGGAAGAAAAAGAGGGAGAGAAAATGGGAATATTGCTTTATTCTAAAAATGGGTATTAATAATGGCAGATCAATATTTTGTGTATTTAAAGTGGAGACTGTATATTTTGTGTATTTGAAATGGAGAGCTCTATAAATATTTATTAAGTTTACTTGTTCCGGATCTGAGTTCAAGTCCTTGTTGTCCTCATCAATTTTCTGTCTCGTTGAGTCTAAATTTCTTTATAGGTCTTATGTACTTAAGAACTTTTTTTTTCCAAAGTTCTTAGGGTGTTAGGGTCGTCAGCTCTTATCGTTGCATTGATCCTTTTAGCACTATATCTTTGTTCCTTTGAAATCTATTTTATCACATGTGAGAATAGCAACTCCTGCTTGTTATTTATTTATTTATTTTTGCTCTCCATTTTGTTGGTAAGTCTTTCCCCATCCCTTCGTTTTGGGTCTTTGTGTATCTTTGGATGTGAAATGGGTCTGGATGCAGCATACCGTTAGCTTTTGGCTCTATCTTTTGATTGGGGGATTTAGTCGACTTAAATTTAGGATTACTGCCATTTGATGTTAACTGGCTATTTTATCCATTCGTTGAGATAAATGATTCTTTATGTTGATGCTCTTTAACTTTTGGTATATTTTTAGGAAGGCTAATACTGGTTGTTCCTTTCTGTGTGTAATGCTTCTTTCAGAAGCTTTTGCAAAGCAGGCCTGGTGGTAATAAAATCTCTGAGTATTTGCTTGTTCATAAAAGATTTTATTTTTCCTTCAATTGTGAAGCTTAGTTTGGCAGGATATGAAATTCTTGGCTGAAAGTTCTGTTCCTTAAGGATGTTCAATATTGGCCCCCACCCTCTTCTGGCTTGTAGGGTTTCTGCTGAGAGATCTGCTGTAAGTCTGATATGCTTCCTTTTGTGAGTAACCTGACCTTTCTCTCTGGCTGCCCGTACTATTTTCTCCATGGTTTCAACCCTGGTGAATCTAACGATTTTGTGCCTTGGGGTTGCTCTTCTAGAGGAATATCTTTGTGGTGTTCTCTGTATTACCTGGGGCTGAATATTGTCCTGCTTTGCTAGGTTGGGAAAGTTTTCCTGAATACTATCCTAAAGAATATTTTCAGCTTGGATTCATTCTCTCCATCGCATTCAGCTACACCGATCAAACGTAAATTAAGTCTTTTCACATAGTCCCACATTTCTTGGAGACTTTGCTCATTCCTTTTTATCCTTTGTTCTCTAATCTTACCTTCTTTTTTTATTTCATTAAGTTGGACTTCGACCTCTGATATCCTTTGTTCTGCTTGATCAATTCGAGTGTTTAAACCTGTGCATACTTCTCAGCGTTCCCATATTGTATTGTTCAGTTCCATTAATCGCCTTATATTCCTCTCTAAATTGTCTATTCTCATTAGGATTTCATCAAACCTTTTTTCAAAGTTCTTACTTTGTTTACATTGGGCTAAAACATGTTCTTTTAACTCACAGAAGTTTCTTATCATACACCTTCTGAAGCCTGAATTTCTAAGAATTTAACCAAACAGGCAAGAAATCTTTACAATGAAAGATATAAATCAATAAAAGAGGCCGGGTGAGGTGGCTCACCCCTGTACTCCCAGCACTTTGGGAGGTTGAGGCAGCCAGGGAGATTGTCTGAAGTCAGGAGTTTAAGAATAGCCTGGCCTACATGGTGAAACCCCATCTCTACTAAAAATACAAAAAATTAGCTAGAGGGGTAGCAGGTGCCTGTAATCCCAGCTACCCAGGAGGCTGAGACAGAAGAATGGCTTGAACCTGAAAGGTGGAGATTGCAGCGAGCCAAGATTGCACCACTGTACTTCAGTCTGGGCTACAAGAGTGAAACTCTGTCTCAGAAAAAAACAATCAATTAAAGTAATTAGAGAAGACATACATTTTAAAATATTTAATATTTATGCATTCAAAGAATAAATATTTTTCAAGTACCATGTTCTCTAAAGTAATCTATATATTCAACAAACGTCCTATCAAAATTCCAGTGGCATTCTTTTCACAGCAGTAAAAAGTACATTTCTAAAATTTACAAGAAACTACAATAAACTTCAACTAGCCAAAGCAATCCTGAGGAAAACAACAATGCAAAGGGGCACTTATAATTTATACTTTCTAATTTCAAACTATGTTTCAAGGATATAGTAATAAAAACCGGATCGAATGTGCAGAAAATTTACATAAAAACCCATAGAGGCTGGGCATGGTGGCTTATGCTGTAATTCCAGCAATTTGGGAGGCCGAGGTGGGTGGATCACCTGAGGTCAGGAGTTCAAGACCGACCTGATCAACAGGGAAAAACCCCATCTATTAAAAATACAAAATCAGCCAAACATTACAGTACATGCCTGTAATCCCAGCTACTCAAGAGGCTTAGGCAGAAGAATCACTTGAACTTGGGAGGCAAAAGTTATGGTGAGCTGAGATTGCTCCGCTGCACTCCAGCCTTGGTGACAGAGGGAGACTCTGTCTCAAAAACAAAAACAAAACAAAACAAAACAACAAAAACAGAACACGACGAGTACACAGTTTAGACATCATACAAAAAGAGAACTAAAAAAGTAATTTAAAATAAAGTTTCTCAAAATCATGCAGATATCTGTATGATACCACAAAACAATAAGAAACCAGTCAGATCGTATAGTGTTTTATATGCCATGAAGAGGATTTTGGCTCTCACTGTAAACTTGAAGGAAGATCAATGTAGCAAAAGTAGACTCATTTGAGAATTTGAAAGCATAAGAGAGAAGATGGCCCTATGTGAGAAAACAACAACAAAAAAAGCGAACGCCTCAGGCTTCCCAGAAACTATCTGCTTTGGAACACAACTTCCCAAATCACTCTGTAGGGACTGGCTTTTCTTTTTCATTTTTTATCTTCCAACTTTTCAACTGTGTCAAGTGTTTCATTCATTCTCACCTACCTGGGGGTGTGGCTGCCATACTGTGTCTCTTCATATTCCAGGGATCTTTTTCTTGCTGCAGACAGGTGATCGGATCTGCCTTAGAGACAGCAATACCTGCTTTATTAAAAATAAATTACATGAATCTTTCTCATATTCTCTAATTACCAACCTCTACCATGCTTAGTAAAGAGATGTCATAGAATATTCTAGAAAAAATCCGAAAATACTACTTAATGACAGAAAGTTCTTAACATTTAGAAAACATTTTAAATTAGTAGGTTCTTAATTTCACTACCCAGTACTTATGAGTCAAAAAGTAGTGGTGGCAAGCTGATTTTTAAATGGGGGCGACAATACTTTATACCACGAAATTTCTGAAATTACTACTCCTCTACAGTGAAAGATACAGACCAACTCAGGAGTGTAAAAAGTTCAGGCCAAGATAAAACATCTTGAAGAAGTTTTTTCTACATGAACCATTCCTCAAGATTTTTTGAAAACAAGGATTAGAAATTCATTTATGGAAAGCATAAATTACCAAAAATTATTATATAAAAATAGAGAAATGAAACCTTTAGGGTATATGAGGAATTGTGTATTAAAGTTATTCTCACCCAAGAAGACCAGGTTCCTGTAGTTCTCTAACATCACTTTTCTATACAAATCCTGCTGAGCAGTGTCCAGGCATTGCCACTCCTCCAGAGAGAATTCTATGGCCACATCCCTAAATGTCAACGGCCCCTGAAAAACACACACACACACCAACAGACACACAGATTTACAAGTGTCCATAAGCAGAATTTATCATTTAAGGTTAACTAAGAGAGTAAAGAAAATTAGGTTAAACTTATATAAATGAATGAAATTATCTAACAATTTTTAACAAAAAAATATTCTCTAATGTATTCTCTAACTCTGAGAGAAGAGACTGGTATAAGCTTCACAAAACCAGTGTGTATGTATACATATATGAATGCTACTTTCATGAATAATAATGTATAAAACTAAAGGCATAAACACAAACATGTACATTTTTAGTTCTATATTTGCATCACAAAGAATGAGCTGTCCATACCTTTCAGACAAAGAAGACATGTTGAGTTAGAAGGCACCTCTTAAGACTCAGTGAGGTGGCTCACGCCTGTAATCCCAACACTTTGGGGGCCGAGGCAGGCAGATCATGAGGTCAAGAGTTCGAGACCAGCCTGGCCAGCATTATGAAACCATCTCTACCAAAAATACAAAAAAATTAGCAGGCATGGTGGCAAGCGTCTGTAGTCCCAGCAACTCGAGACTGCACCCCAGCCTGGGTGACAAAGCAAGACTCAATCTAAAAATAAAATAAATTTTTAAAGTACCTCTTAAATTTTAATATGTAAATTAAACTGAAGATCTTATACAGATTTTTTTAAGAAGATATGAAATAAAGTCTGAGTCTCTGAATTTTTAACAATCTCACTAGTAATACCATGTGTTTGGCCCAAAAAGAGAAAAGTAAGTGGAAAAGCCTGTGTTTTATCCAGTTCTCGTGGTCTGTAAACAAAGATCAAAAGACTCTTCATTTTCTACAGACTGAGATAATGAAAACAAAACCTATGAAAAGAAGGCAGCTACCGGATTAAATGTGATAGTTTATGCACAGCTCTTCTTTAGCTACATAAATACAGATAGTTAATAATCAGAATAAAAATAAGTAACTCAATAGTGAAATAAATGTCTCAGAGCTCTTTATGTCAATTTTAACATGAACTGCACTAGGACAACGTTGTATGATGTGCTGATGCATAGAGAAGAACACAACATCACTGCTGAGATATTGCCCCTCAAAAAGCAAATTATAGTCTGAATTTAACCATAAAGAGAAATCAGTTTCATGAAGAGTTCAAGATGTAGTATTAGGGGTTAGGGGGGCAAAAAAAAAAAAAAAAAAAAAAATGCAGTGTCTTCTATGTTCTGTAATGTTTAATAACAACTTAAAGTAGTCTTTCTTTATCACTTTAGAGAGCAGGTATCTTTTTTTTTGAGACAGAGTTTCGCTTTTGTTACCCAGGCTGGAGTGCAATGGCACGATCTCAGCTCACCACAACCTCCTCCTGAATAGCTGGAATTATAGGCACCCACCACCATGCCCAGCTAATTTTTTGTATTTTTAGTAGAGATGGTGTTTCACCATGTTGACCAGGATGGTCTCGATCTGTTGACCTGGTGATCCACCCGCCTCAGCCTCCCGAAGTGCTGAGATTACAGGCATGAGCCACTGCACCCAGCAAGAATAGCATCATTCTGATACCAAAACCTGGCAGAGAGAAAAACAGAAAACTTCAGGCCAATATCCTTGATGAACACTGAAGAAGATATTCTCAACAAAATACTGGCAAACCAAATCCACAAGAATATCAAAAAGCTCATCCAGTGTGATCAAGTAGACTGCATCTCTGAGATGCGAGGTTGTTTCAACATATAAATATTAATAAATGTAATTCATCACAAACAGAACTAAAGAGAAAAGCACAATACTATCTCAATAGATGCTAAAAAGAAGCTTTCAATAAAACTTAACATCCTTCATGTTTAAAACCCTCAACAAACTAGGCATTGAGGGTACATACTTCAAAATAATCAGTCATCTATGACAAACTTACAACCAAAATATTGAACGTACACAAGCTGGAAGCATTTTCTCCTGGAAAACCGGCACAAAACAAGGATGTCCTCTCTCAAAACTCCTATTCAGCATACAGTTGGAAGTCCTGGCCAGAGCAATCAGAGAAAAGATGAAAATAAAAGGCATCCGGGCTGGGCACGGGGGCTCACGCCTATAATCTCGGCACTTTGGGAGGCCGAGGCAGGCGGATCACGAGGTCAAGAGATCGAGACCATCTTGGTCAACATGGTGAAACCCTGTCTCTAATAAAAATATAAAAAATTAGCTGGGCATGGTGACGCATGCCTGTAATCCCAGCTACTCAGGAGGCTGAGGCGGGAGAATTGCCTGAACCCAGGGGGTGGAGGTTGCGGTGAGCCGAGATCGCGCCATTGCACTCCAGCCTGGGTAACAAGAGCAAAACTCCGTCTCAAAAAAACAAAAAAAAACAAAAAACTTCAGCAACAGGATGCCAAATAAGTAGCATCCCTGAGGCGGAGGTTGCAGTGAGCTGAGATCGCCACTGCACTCCAGCCCAGGCAACAGAGTGAGAGTCTATCTCAAAAAAATAATTAATAAAGAAGTAGCATCCCTGTTCATCACCAACATCCAAGCCAAAAGCCAAATAAAAAACATAATCTTATTCAAAATTACCACAAAAACAATAGAACATGAATACAGCTAACTATAGAGGTGAAAGATCTCTATGACAAGAATGACAACACGCTGCTTGAAGAAGTCAGAGACGATGCAAACAGATGAAAAAAAAACAAACATTTATACTCAAGGATAGAAAATATCAGTATTATTAGAACAGCCAAACTGCCCAAAGACATTTACCAATTTATTGCTATTTCTATCAAACTACCAGAATCAGTGTTAACAAAACTAAAAAATAACTACTTTAAAATTTATATGGAGCCAAAATGAGCCTGAATAGCCAAGGCAATTTTAAACAAGAAGAACAAAGCTGGAGGCATTACATTACCCCACTTCAAACCACACTCACTAGAGGGCTACGGTAACCAAAGCAGCATGGTACTGGCACAAAAACAGACCCATAGACAAATAGTCTATGAGCAGAGAATAGAGAGCCCAGAAATAATGCCACACACCTCCAACCATCTGATCATTGACAAATCTGACAAGAGGAATGTGAGAAGAATTCCCTAGTTAATAAATGTGCTGGAATAGCTAGCTAGCACTATGTAGAAGATTGAAATTGTTTCCTCCCTGATAATATATATAAAAATTAAATGAAAATAAAGACTTAAATGCAAAACTTAACATTATTTTTAAAATCTGGAAGATAAATAACCAAGAAAATACCCTTCTAAGCATAGGAACGAGCAAAGATTTTCTGAGGAAGATAACAAAAGGAATTGCAACAAAAGCAAAAATTGACAAATGGAGCCTAATTAGACTAAAAAGCTTCTTCACAGCAAAGAAAACTATCAATGGAGTAAACAGATCACATAACAAATAAACAAAAATATTTGCAAACTATGTTCCTGACAAAGGTTTAACATCCACAATTCATAAAGAAGTCTGCAAAACAAAAAAAAAAACTTTATTAAAAAGCATAAAACATGAACAGATGCTTTTCCAAAAAAAGACAAACACGTGGCTAACAGGCATGTGTAAAACAGGCTTACCACTAATTCCTAGAGAAATGAAATGAAAAAAAAAAGCCACAGTGAGACACCATCTCACACCAGTCAGCATGGCTGTTGTTAGGAAGTCAGTAACAGGCCGGCACCGTAATCTCAGCACTTATGGAGGCCAAGGCAGGCAGACCACTTGAGGTCATGAGTTTGAGAGCAGCCTGGCCAAAATGGAGAAACCCCATCTTTACTAAAAATACAAAAACTGGCTGGGCACAGTGGCTCACGCTTGCAGTCTCAGCACTTTGGGAGGCGGAGATGGGCGGATCACAAGGTCAGGAGTTTGAAACCAGCCTGGCCAATGTGGTGAAACCACATCTCTAATAAAAATACAAAAATTAACTGGGAATGGTGGCCGGCGCCTGTAGTCCCAGGTACTTAGAAGGTTGAGGCAGGAGAATCACTTGAACCCAGGTGGTGGTGAAGGCTGCAGTGAGCCAAGACTGTGCCACTGCACTTGTCTGGCTGACAGAGCAAGACTCCATCTCAAAAGAAAAAAGAAAAAGAAAAAACAATCAGTCAGGCTTGGCGGGGCACATCTGCAGTTTCAGATACTCAGGAAGCTAAGGTATGAGAATCTGTTGAACCCAGGAAGTCGAGGTTACAATAAGCTGAGATCACACCACTGCACTCCATCCTAGGTGACAGAGTGAGACTCTGTCTCAAATACAAACGTCAATAACAGATGCTGGCAAGGTCGCAGAGAAAACGAAATGTTTATACATTGATGAAGGAAGCGTAAATTGGTTCAAACGCTCTGAAAAGCAGTGCGGCGATTCCTCACAGAACTGAGACAGAATTACTATTTGACCAAGAAACCTTCAAATTGGGTATGTACCCAAAGAAATATACATTATTCTACCATAAAGACACATGCACATCCATGTTTATTACAGCACTGCTTGCAGTAACAAAGACATGGACTGGGCGCAGTGGCTCATGCCTGTAATCCCAGCACTTAGGGAGGTCGAGGCAAGCAGATCACCTGATGTCAGGAATTTGAGACTAGCCTGGATCAGCATGGCTGATCTCAAAAAAAAAAAAAAAAAACCCATCTCTGTGAAAAATGCAAAAATTAGCTGGGTGTGGTGGCATGCGCCTGTAGTCCCAGCTACTTGGGAGGCTGCGGTGAGAGAATCACTTGAGCCCGGGAGGTGGAGGTTTCAGTGAGCTGAGACCATGCTATTGCACTCCAGCCTGGGTGACAGATGACACTGTCTCAAAACAAAATAAAACAAACCTTGGGATTCCCACAACCTTCCTCCAGTTTAATAATTTGATCAAGCTGCTCACAGAACTCAGCAAAACAATGTAGTTATATTTACTGGTTTGTTATTTAAAAAAATACAACCCAGGAAAAGTCAAATGGAAGAAATGTATGACAAAGAAAAGAGGTGGGGGACGATGAAGCACATACATAATCTGGGTCAACA